CCCAGAATTCCCAATCCCAGAATTCCCAGAATTCCCAATCCCACCTCATCCTGCTCCTGGTCTCCTCCTGCCGCCCCTCGATCCACTCCCGGAATTCCCAGAATTCCCAGAATTCCCAATCCCACCTCATCCTGCTCCTGGTCTCCTCGTACTCCTAGAATTCCCCATCCCAATCCCAGAATTCCCAGAATTCCCAATCCCACCTCATCCTGCTCCTGGTCTCCTCGTACTCCCAGAATTCCCCATCCCAATCCCAGAATTCCCAGAATTCCCAATCTCACCTCATCCTGCTCCTCATCTCCTCCTGCTGCCCCTTGATCCACTCCCGGAATTCCCGGAATTCCCAGAATTCCCACTCCCACCTCATCCTACTCCTGGTCTCCTCCTGCTGCCCCTCGATCCACTCCCAGAATTCCCGGAATTCCCAATCCCACCTCATCCTGCTCCTGGTCTCCTCCTGCCGCCCCTCGATCCACTCCCGGAATTCCCAGAATTCCCAATCCTACCTCATCCTGCTCCTCATCTCCTCCTGCCGCCCCTCGATCCACTCCCGGAATTCCCAGAATTCCCGGAATTCCCAATCCCACCTCATCCTGTTCCTCATCTCCTCCTGCTGCCCCTTGAGCCGCTCCCGGAATTCCCAGAACTCCCAGAATTCCCAGAATTCCCACTCCCACCTCATCCTGCTCCTCATCTCCTCCTGCCGCCCCTCGATCCACTCCCGGAATTCCCAGAATTCCCAGAATTCCCAATCCCACCTCATCCTGCTCCTCATCTCCTCATACTCCCAGAATTCCCCATCCCAATCCCAGATTTCCCAGAATTCCCAATCCCACCTCATCCTGCTCCTCATCTCCTCCTGCCGCCCCTCGATCCACTCCCGGAATTCCCAGAATTCCCAGAATTCCCAATCCCACCTCATCCTATTCCTCGTCTCCTCCTGCTCCCCCTTGAGCCGCTCCCGGAATTCCCAGAATTCCCAGAATTCCCACTCCCACCTCATCCTACTCCTGGTCTCCTCCTGCCACCCCTCCATCCACTCCCGGAATTCCCGGAATTCCCAGAATTCCCAATCCCACCTCATCCTGCTCCTGGTCTCCTCGTACTCCCAGAATTCCCCATCCCAATCCCAGAATTCCCAGAATTCCC